AAAAGGAAGAAAAAATTAGAACAGAAGTGCTCGTACCTCACGGGTCCAATTTCTTTTCTTGCAGTTTTCAACTTTTCTTTTAAATTAATCTGAAATAGAGCAACAATTTGATTTTGGGATATATTAATTATCAAGTCAAAAAAAAAAAAAAGATTTTATAGAATAATTGGGATACTACGCGCGCTATGATTGGTGGAAAACCATGTTTGATGAGAGTATCAAAACACGCCATCGTCATTTTTAATCTATCGCGCGCGCTCATTGGTCAGTTTGAATAAGGCACGTAGGGAGAATTTACTCATACTTTGTTTTTTTCCGATCTTTTCGCGCGTTTGTTATTTTATAAAACAAATAAAAAACAGTTTTCCATGTTTGATACTCTGATCAAAACACGCGGGATGTTGAGAGAACACGAGAGGAGCGTAGGAAACCACGACGCGTTTTTGATCTGTTAAATTAAAGATCTAGAGAACTTAAGATCTAGTAAAGGTTTATTACTTGCCCCATTTAATCGCAAGACCAGGAAAACATTGGGGGACAGGTCATTTGCTGTGGCGGCACCCGTTCTCTGGAATGCACTACCCGCAGACCTTCGCGCCATTAAAGATGTTAGTTTGTTTAAGCGCCATCTTAAAACCCACCTTTTTAAATTAGCACTTTGATAGCTTTTTAGTATTTATCAATATATATTTAGTCATCTGTATTTATTCATTTTGTAAATAGTTATATAGTTATATATATTATATTATATTATTATTGTAATGCGCGCATGATCATTGGTTTCTATTTTGGCAAACAGTGCATTTCGGCGCTAGATTCGGATTAGCATGTCTTGAAGGCGCGCGCGCGCGTGTGTGTTGGTGGGGCGTGGGATGGGGCTGCGTGTAGAGTTACTGACCTTCAAACATATTGACACCTCGGCTCTGCCCTGGATCTTACGAACCGTCCAGTAGAAGGTCTTCTCTGAGGGCTTGTATTCCCCGGACTGTCCAGATTGTGCGATGGTATAAGAAACACTGGAAAAACCAGAGTTTTGTTAAATGATTTATACATAGGCTGCTATCAATAGACGTGATGGTATCGAGTGGATTTTTAGAGCAGTTTTCGCATGACTATGAAAAGCTCGCGGGAAGAACACGGTCATGACAAGGGAAGGTATGCGCCAGATCAATCACAATGGACAAGAATTTATTTTCCATCCAATCAAATAACCGAAACACGGCATGAACAGGGCGTGGACACGGCCACGCCAAGATCGCGGCCACGCCAAGGTCACGGCCACGCCAAGGTCACGGCCACGCCAAGGTCACGGCACTGTCAGACCAATCATATAGCAATTTTTGTATGACTGTAAAAAGCTCAAGTCGCGAACGGCACGGTCGTGACACGACAAGGCATACGCTTGACCAATCATGTTGCCCAAGAATTTACTCATTATCCAATCAAATGCCCGAAACACGRCATTAAGAGGGCGTGAACACTGTCACGCCAAGGTCACGGTACTGCCAGACCAATCACATTAAGCTTTTCACAGTCATACGGAAACTGCTCCAACCCAACGAATGGCAAATTGTCAATTAATTAGTCCTGAGRGGGAGGGTGARGGGGAGGGGGGAGGAGCATTCACGTGATTCTGGGTACTCACGAGTCTGTTGATTTTG